ATATCATAACTTATTCGTTTGTTAAAAAATAAATCATTTGAAACATTTAAAAAAAGACTATAGGCAAGCGCCAAATCCGACAGATGGCGCTGTTTTTGAGCCAAGATGGCTGCCGAAACAGGATAAGGGAACGACCACGTGCTTGTTCAGTGCCTGAGCCGATTTAGTTTCCGTCGGTGACGACTACTGCGAGGACCAAATTGAGAACAAATCATTGAATTTATGTCAAATTCTAGACTAACGGCGACAGGAAACGTTGTCTTGTAGAAGGTGAAGCCGTTTTGGATGCTGGACACATCGTATTTTGTGGATTAAACTCTAACAACAACACCAAAGTTCATGTTGCTTTAGTGTTGCAATCTCAAATACAGTATTGGCATTTTAATACATCTTAATTACAGGGAGAATGCACGTGCAATGCGGGGCTGTCTGGTTTTTGTAAACATGTGATAGCATGATTATTACACGTTAACAGGTGAGAAGTATTTAAATATTTTAAACTGTATACACCATGTTCAAATATAAAAACATAGTTTTATTTATCATAATAGTTAAAATTAGTGCCAATCTGAAGGTAACCCGGCTGAGTCATTCAACACTTTTGACTGACTTATACAACATAGGTCAGTCAAAAGTTTGTAGCACACATTATGTTGTGTGTGTGTGCGTCTCATATATCCAAAACGGCTTCACCTTCTACAAGACAACGTTTCCTGTCGCCGATATAGTCTAGAATTTGATGTAAATTCAATGATTTGTTCTCCATTTGGTCCTCGCAGTAGTCGTCACTGATAGAAACTGAATCGGCTCAGGCACTGAACAAACACGTGGTCGTTCCCTTATCCTGTTTCGGCAGCCATCTTGGCTCAAAACAGCACCCTCTGTCGGATTTGGCGCTTGCCTATATTGGATATCGGGTTTGGAGATGTTTATTTATATTATATACTGCATTAATTAGTAATAAACAGATAACCGAAGAAAAATTGACATGATCTTTTCGATCCAAAAATTCGGGGCTTAAGTAATCATTTCTTTAAACATTATCTTTTAATTTTAATGAAATGGCCAAGATCAATAAATATATATAAAATAATTACAATTTGGAAGAAACAATGAGTCTTCACTTCCTGTGTTTCTTTCAAGACCTCAGTTTTAACGTAACTTCGTTTTTAAATGTTTTCACATAATGAGGTGGACAAGAAGCCTCAAATAAAAGGTCAACTATGCCCATAATGACTTTTGTTTCTGAGATTGTAAAAGGACAGGAAGTGAAGACTCGCTATTTCTTCCAAATTATGAATATTTTATATATATTATCTTTTAATGTTTATTAGTTTTTAAATTGAAAATAAATTAGGTTATGTTTTTCAATGGAATGATTATTAGAGAATTAATTGTCACTTAAAGATTAATTGATGGATGAACTGATTAATATGATTAATCGCCATGTCTCTAGTTTTTTGTAGTGAGTGTGTTTTAATGTCTGAAAAGTTATTTAAAATGTAGAAACAAGGTTTTGTTTGTGATTGTTTATTTCTCACTCCATTATTTTTGAGAAGAATACTGTTATTTGACTATAAATATTTCTTTATTCTCTTTTTTTAATATATCACATTGTCTCACAGGAAATGTTTTAAACTCCATGTGTGCCGAACTTGCCATCAATGCAACTTTCAAGCTACCTCAGCAATTGAATGCACATTTCCACAATACTGAAAATTCACAATGTACACATTTTGATGCTCTATGAGTTTAAACTCAAACACAAAAGGATTGAGGAGCCATGCCACAAACATCTGCAGGATCTTTGGTGAGGCCACTGTGATGGCTTGCACCTTCCAGTGATGGTTTGAGAAATTACAAGGTAGTGAACTGAGCCCAGAAAATGAACCCTGTAGGAGGCCACCTTTTGCTTTTGCTTCCAAAAAAAGAATTATCTCAACAGGATAATACTTTTTTGATGTTTGTTTGTTTAACTTAAATACCTAATTTTATATTATATAGTTAATTTTCAAATCAGAATTAGAAAAGATTATTGATTATAGTCGAACACTAGAAAATTTATTTTTGCTTTTCGTAATAATGTTTGATTAAAATCATAAACCTAATTTTTAATTAATGCCCCTATTATCAGGCTAATTTAATAGTTAAATTACTTCATATTTAATTATTATATTAGCCTTATATCAGCCTGATAATATGGCAGACTGTTTGACATTAAAAACCAATATATTAAAAATTAAATTCCATTTAAATTTCTGCAAAAAATTATTAAAAACATATTTTAGTAACAGTGTCATTGTATTCATAATTATATGCTAACTTATTTATAAATAAAGTGGATTTGAAACTATGTAATAGAATATTTAGAATAATTTAGAATTTGTTAATAAACAGAATATTGAAATAAATAGTACAAAAAATAACATACACAGATATTATAGGGTAATGACACCAGTACTCGACTATTTAAAGCTGTTTTGGACTTTGATATTTCTTTATTACGACATGTAGTAACATGAAAATAAAATTCATATATGAAAATGAAGTTTATTCTATACTTTTCATGGAAAAAAAACATTTTTTATTAGACTTTTGTTTACATTTTAAAAAAATCATCACAGGTTCATCCAGTAGACAACCAGTGGGTCACACAATCATTTATAGTGGTTGACAACTTTATTAAGAACCTCACAAATGCAACAACTGTGAAAGGATAAGTTAGCTCAATAATAGATATTTTGTAGAAAATATGCATCTGAAATGTGGAACCCTCATTATCTTTTAAAGATGGGACGATGCCTCAATATGTGGTCAACTACCGGAAGGGGCAGTTTCACAATAATTGTTTCCATCAACCCATTATTCTTACGTGTTATTAACAAAGGGGTCATCTTATGCTTCCTGTCAAGATGGCTTGTCCAAACCTGTTCCGATGGACTAATTATGCACAGATTTCCGCTTACGTGGTCGGCAATAGTCGCCCACCCTATATATACGTTTCTGTTTTTAAAATGAAATATTTTGTTGTTTTAATTTAAAAGATCTGTTTATTTTTAAGATTATTTAACTTTTATCTAGTTTACATAAAAACAATTAAGAGATGATAATTGAAATTAAAATATTTGAGTTTAGATCTCGATTATAATAAATTTTTTTCTCTTTCAGGCAATTAAACTACTAATAATGACATCCATCATAAAATTACAAGCAATGTCAGGGGTTTATGATGAATCCCCTCATTGCTATCTATTACAGGTGGATGAATTTAAATTTCTCCTGGATTGTGGATGGGATGAATCTTTAAACATGGCATTTGTTAAGGAATTGAAAAAGTTAGTGATTTTATTTATATGTTAAAAGTTTAAAGTTATTTGTTGTCATCTTATAATTTCTCATTGCTTTTAGCATCCAAAGCCAAGTGTGTCATATTATTTTACAATGTGTATGCATATTTGTTCTAATTTAAAATTTCTGTAAATAATGTTTTCTTAGTATGATCTTGTTTTATACAGAATTGATACTTGTTTAAGCAGATTTGTGTTTTTGTGGATAGCAAATGGCTAAATTAATTGTTGGATGCACAGTAGTAATTTTGACTATTAATATACACATACTAACTATTGTTATCGTGAAATTCACTATATGTAGTAAAAATAAAAAAAACACTCCCACACAACAAACCTTTATCTCCAGTAATGCGTCCATAGCATGCGCATTTGTTCCAATTTTATTTTGAAACTCAATGTTTGAAGTTGTTCCAAGGAAAGTCATTCTAAGTTTGGAATCCTGTTTTCAATTAACCTGAAGCAGACCTCGGGTGAGGCCGAAAACGTTTGTTCCCGAAATTTAAGCATTACAAGAGATAAAGGTTCGTTGAGTGGTAGTATTTATTAACACCGGTAATCAGATTAGAAGTTATTGATTTAAAATTAAAATGTTTTAAATACATTTTAACATCTTTCTGTTAGTTTTAAAGCTTTAAAGTATAGCTGCATGAGTGTTTAGATATCTGGATTACTTGGGGTACAGCACTAGTTTATGCAGAATTTTGTTTTGTGATGTACAGTACTTACTGACTTGTAAAATAAGATCATATTGTACATACCTATAATATAACTATATTTAATATAAAATATTTCAATAAACAATAATCGATAATAAGACAGAAAAGTTATTTAAATAATGCAAATTTTGATTATACAGTCGACCCCCTATAACACTGTTGATAATTCCGTTTTATATGAATTCCATGTTGTACGAGTCCCTTAAATTTTACAAATACGTGTGCCGGGCTGTGAACGGCTCACGTATTGTAAAATTTAAGTGACTCATACAACATGGAATTCATATGAAACGGAATTATCAACAGTGTTATAGGAATGTCGACTGTAATAAAAATGTTTCAAAATAGATTGCTCTTAAAATTAACTAACTACACACAACAATATTCTAAGCAGATTAAATTTGATACTTTGATGCATCATAGATAAAGTTTTTTCCACGGTTTCAGAATATTCTAAAAACATGTTTGATTTCTCATGTTGTTGACTGTGCCGTTTTGTTTTTCTGTAATAAAATTCTACTCAAACATTTTATGTCAGTCATAAATTCATAAATTTGCATTATTTAATGTTTGAATTTTAGTATATCATAAATTGCATTTGATTAAAAGTGTTAAACCATCAAGTCAGTAGGAGCTACAGTTTGTAAATTGTTAGTTGAGAAACACCAAATTACAATAATAATTTAAATAGGAATTTAATTATAATTATAAGGTTAATAGTTAATTGTAAATACATTTCTTGTAATTTTATAAGAGACTATTAAAAATTCAGTACATGTTGAAATTATTTTATTTTATAAGTTAAAAAAAAATGATAATATTTTAAAAATTTACTATTAAAATATTGCGTTTTTATTATTTTTATTGCATTTTAATTGTTTTCTTTCTTGTAGACATACTAATCAAATTGATGCTGTATTGTTGTCTTATCCTGATGTTTTGCATCTTGGTGCTTTACCCTACATGGTTGGAAAATGTTCCTTAAATTGTCCGATTTATGCTACCATTCCTGTTTACAAAATGGGACAAATGTTCATGTATGATCTCTTTCAGGTAATCATACATTTCATAAAAATAGTTATAACTATAATTTACATGTATTAATATAGAAAAAGAATTCAAATTTTTACATAGAATTATTTTAAATTCATTTATAAATTATGTTAAATTTATCTTTTTAGTCCAGGCACAATACAGAAGAATTTGATTTATTTACCTTAGATGATGTTGATGCAGCTTTTGATAAAATTATTCAGTTAAAATATAGTCAGACTGTTAGTCTGAAAGGTATGTTCTATTTTTGAGATTTCTATTAAATTTAGATGATATTTTTTTTATTACTTTCTTTATCTTAATTTATTAAAACTGCCGCCGATTGCTTAGAAGGTCATGATAGTGTTTGTAAACATGATACATTTGGATCTGCAACAAATAATTTTCTGAAAAGAAATTTAGTTAAAAAAAAATTATATTTTTGTAATAGAAAATGTATTAAACTTTAAAAGTAAGGTTCTAAATTGACAGATATTGCATTAATTTGTAACAGATCTTTAACTGTAAGCTACTGAGGAGTCCAGAGTTTTAATCATCCATGTAGTTATGTTTCTGTTAGAACTAACGTTATAATAACTTTTACATAATAACAAAAAATACACAAAATGTTAAATATGATAGGCAGTTTTACAAAATAATATTTTATTTTATTTAATTTTTTTTATACTAATGTTTTGTTGTATATGCGTATCAAATGAAACATTCTTGATATTGTAAGATCCATTAACTTAATTATTATAAAATTGAATGTTTGTTCTTGTTAAATGATAATAAATAAACAAAAATTTTTTATTACATTATTAATAAATCATAATTAATTAATTACTTAATTCAGGAAAAGGGCAAGGTTTATCAATCACTCCTCTCCCTGCTGGTCATATGATTGGTGGGACTATATGGAGAATTGTAAAAGATGGAGAAGAAGATATTCTTTATGCTGTCGATTTTAATCATAAAAAAGAGAGACATTTAAATGGTTGTGTGCTTGAAAGTGTTTCACGCCCATCATTATTAATAACTGATGCCTATAATGCTACTTATAATCAACCGAGAAGACGATTGAGAGATGAACAATTAATGAGTGAGAATTTATTTTTTTAAGAATTAAAATATTTTATGATTTAATAATTAACATAACTATAGATTTAATTGAATTTAATAATTAATGTTTGTTTATTTAAATAATATAATTCTTGCAGAATTTTACAATATTAAACATAAGTACAGTGGTACCTCAGTATACGTCTGCTTTGGAATACGTCAAATTTGGAATACGTCCTATTTGGACGAAACAAATTTTGCTCAGTATACGACTTAATTCAACTGTACGCGCCATCTATGAACAAGTAGCACTATCAGTGTACTAGACCAGACTAGACGTTCACGGTGCCACAGTTTATAACTTTGTTAAATTTCTTCTGATTTTAATTTGTAAGTAAAATTTTATTATTTTTATTAATCATGAATTTGCAAAAAAGCAAATGAAAAGCAACAGAAAGCTAAAAAAATTTACTAGAATCACAATGGAACTGAAAAAAGAAATTGTTGAGAAATATGAAGGTGGCATGCGTGTTCAAGATTTTAACTGTTGCATACCATATTCCGAGAATGACAATATCGACAGTCGTGAAAAATAAAGACATTATTAAATCTGCTAATGTTGCGAAAGGGTTTAAATCAATTTCTAAACAGAGATCAAAGACATTAGATCATGTTGAGAAATTGCTTTTGCTTTGGATAACTGAAAAAACAGTGTGCTAGAGACACCGTATTAGAAGCAATTATTTGCGAGAAAGCTAAAAAGATACATGCTGATCTCATAAAAAATCAAGCAGGAACTAGCCAGCTGGGAAAGCGAGGTGTTTAAAGCCAGCCATTTTTTTTTTTTAACATGAGAATGGATTAATCATTTTTACATTACTTCTTATGGGAAAGGTTGGTTTGGTATATGTCCTATTCAGTTTAATGGATTAAGGTCCTATTAGGAATGGATTAAGGTCGTATATCGAGGTTCCACTGTATGTAATTTTAAATTAGCTTACATTTTTTGGAATTTTTAATAAGAATCTCAAAATAAATAAATATTTTTTTTTTTTTCAAGAAAAGAATAATTTTATGATATGTTTATTTATTGTTTATAATTTTATTTTTACAGCAAATATATTGCAGACATTACGGAATAATGGAAATGTTCTTATAGCTGTTGATACTGCTGGACGAGTGCTAGAATTGGCACATATGTTGGTATGTTCGTTATAAATTTATTATTTATGTAGAAATATATTAAATCATAGTAAAATCATTACTTTTATTGAATTAAACAAACTTAATGATTAAAAAAATTAGTTTTTATAATTATTATATGTTAATTGTATTCACATTCAATTCTTTTTTTCTTAAGAATTAGCAACAGTTAGTACAAAAATATGTTGTATACAGAAAACTGTTAAAAACTGTTAAAAACTGTTATTCAAACACTAAGTTTGTCGTTATATTGCAATATTTCATGTAAAAAGAGCACTGCAACAAATATGAGAATAGAATAGATTCCAGTTAATAGGGTCATCATTTAATCAAGGCAACCATTTAATCGGGGCAAATCATAAATATTAAAAACAAATCAAGAAAATAATCTAAATTTATTCTATTATTTGAGATATTGCACTGTTTAATTAGGATAGTGATTACTAGATGATATGCTTGTGATATGTGACAATACGGCCATTACTGAGTCATCACCAAATTAATTTAGTAATTAACACGAGCATATTCAGACAGTTTAGTGATTCAGCCTCACTAAAGACATTAGGGAACATGAAGCTTAAAGAAAAGATACAGACATTGAGGAAGATCTCAATCAATGGTTCTTTATCAAAACTGGTATTTGTGTCAGTCTAATGGTCCAATACTAAAACTTAAGTCAGAGGAGATAGCTATAAAGTTGTATCACAAAGATTTGAAAGCAACACATCATTGGTTGTGTAAATAAAACTCCAGGCATAGCATTAAATTAAAGAAAGCACACAGTCAGAAGGATAATGCAATGTAAGTAATAAACAATGCATATTTGAAACTGTCCAATATGTTTCATAAATTTTATGCCAATGACATCTACAATGTTAGTGAAAGATACTTGTATTATCATGCTAATAATTGATTTTAAAAAACAATAGATCGTGAAAATATATTACGTTGTTCAAATATGTCATAGTGGTAAATGAAGGTTTTGGTTATTGGGAAAAATACTTCAGTTACAATTATTAATTAATATTAATATTTGTAATTGAATATTTTGCTTTTAAATAATAATATAAGAATCTTTTATTATTTCAGTATCGTATTGTAAAAAATTATGTGATTTATACATTATTTTTTTTTATATAGGATCAGTTGTGGAAAAATCAAGATTCAGGATTAATGGCCTATTCTCTAGCTTTATTTAATAATGTTAGCTATAATGTTGTAGAATTTGCAAAGTCTCAGGTAATTATAGAAATAAATATGTATTAAGAAATGTGTAAATAGCTTATTATACAGTATTATGTTTTTATTTTTCAATATTTAATGAGCATTATATTTAGTGATTAAGATAACTTTTTGTTTATATATCTTTATTTTATTAAATAGAATATTAACCATTATATACTGTTATTAACTGGAAAGCTTCTTCCAAATTAAACTTTAATTAAATGCAAGTATTACAAATGTATTGCAAATATACATGATATTTTAAATCAGATTTTTTAAAAACCTGCTAATTTAATATAGGTCGAATATAATTTTGTTATAATATATTCTAAAATAGCTATATTTTTTAATTTGCATCTTTAATATTACTTTATGTTGATTTTGAATTATTTTTAATCAAATTCAGTTTAGATAGAAATGGATATATTTACCACTATAAAATATAACTTTGTAACATTTAGAGTATTTTATAAATGTAACTTGAAAAATATCCATATATTTATTATATGTGTAAGATGTTATACTCAATATTATAAGTTATTTCTCTGCTGAAATTGAACTGTTACAGGATTTCATGACTACAAAATTTTTCAATTCAAAATCTTATAAGCTTTATACAGAATGTTGTGTTTAGATTATTTTTACTATTTTGGCAGTCTGAAACATAATCAAATTGAATGTATTTTAATCAAAGGGTTCTGTAAGAAAATGCAATCAAAAATCAGTCATTTTCTTTAAGTTTAATTTCTGATTTAATTTTTCTCAATTAGATTTAATTGTCGTGTTCTTCTGAATTGTATGATGGTTAAAATTCATGTTTGAATTTTAAAATTATTAAAGAATTTGATAAGAATGATGTTATAAACAATTTTTTTCTGTACATATCAAATTTATCACATAAAAATATTCATTTTATTCTTTTTTATTTACTTATTCATCTTTTTATTTAATAAGAATTTTTAAAGTGATTGCAATTATTTAATTTTAAGTCTTTTTTTCCTTATATTTTTAGAATGAATTTCATGTTTTCTTTTATGGTTAATTAATATCAAATTTTCATATAATTTTAGTAAATTATTAACTTAATTATTTAACCTGTTACATCAGAGAATCGTGTAATTTATAAATTTGAATATTTGTAGGTGGAATGGATGAGTGATAAAATAATGAGATCTTTTGAAGGTGCAAGAAACAATCCGTTTCAATTTAAACACCTTCAGTTGTGTCACACAATGATAGAGCTGAATAAAGTTTCTGAACCAAAAGTAAGAAAAAATTATTTAATTGCTTCTATTGTTAAATTTAATGAAAAAGTATGGAATGAAATTTAGCTTTATGTTTTAAAATACTTCTTTTACTTTTATTTAAATACTAATATAAATTTTAAAACAATAGTAAATTATTATTGATATTGACGTACAGCGGTACATTGTAGTTTGAATGTTCCAGAATTTGTATGCTAAGTTTGAGATAAATTCAATCTGGAATTTCGATGATGCTTCTATGTTCAAACTGCACACACAGTGAACAAACGTACTTGCAGCATAAACACCAAGATTTTCAAATCCATTGATTCTAAAGCATTTTGTTTTTTCGAAAGTCGAAGTAATTTAGATATTATTGATTTCCATAATAAAATAAGGAGTATTTTTTAATATTGTAGAATAAAAACCAGTAATATCTAAATTGTAATGTTTAAATAGGAATGTCATTTGTTAAAA